GTATGAGAAACAAGAGCTATGCCTCCATGCAATCCTATTAAAAAAAAAGACCAGAAATCTTTTTCCAGCAGTTTGCTTTGGTGAGGTGGAGAATATGAGAACAGCACCAAGTTCCCCTGGATTCATTCTGGGAAAGGATCAAGTTAAGCTTAAATTTTTAGTAAGAAGTTAGTAATTAATGGGTCTGAAGACAACAACATATGAAAACTAGAAACCCAGGGCCACTAGAATTTCTTTCCTCCAAATCTCACTGAAATCAATGAAAAGACACAGAGTGTGTTCACTGGCTGCATGATCAGGTCTGCCACAGAAGCAACTGCAAGAGTGGTAGCAAAGTGTGTTGTGTGTATTTGAGAATTTCCATTCTAATCCTCTGTTTTGAGTTGCTCAGAGCTTTCTGAATGCTTTACTTATCAGGATAAAATGTTCCAGGCCTGGTCTCTGGCAAAATGTAAATTTTTAATAGTTTAAGATAAGAGTGGTTCAGTTATTCTTGAGTGGGAGAAGAGTCCAAGAACCAAGGAAACAGATTTTTTTGTGTGTGATTTTTTTTCTAATAAGTCATCTGTTAAAGTTGCTGAGGGACCAGTTTTGAAGCCTAGGATGAAGTATGGCCCTCATGAGAGGGCCATTGGAGAGCAGACAACACATTACAGCTATTGATCAATGTGTTACAGGGAAATTTCACTTTGGTCCAAAAGGGTTATGAGTCCTTGGAAATCATCCAGTGGGCTTAAGCAGTTCCTTTTGGAAAGTTGATCCCTCCCCACTCTTCCTCCCCTGTCTCCAGTTTCTTCTAGTAATCTTGGGGGGCGGGGAGGAGGAACCTTATTTTCCATGTTTGTGACTAATTTAGCTTTACTGAGATCCCAACAGAAGTTAGCAAAATTAGCTAGATGACTGCCTCCTCTAGCTTAATTTTCCTACTGCCTAGTTGAAATGTCCATGCGATTCTTACCGTAAGTTCCATATAAACATTACACCAATCGTGTAAATCCATTTATCTAAGTCTGCTGGTGAACCTTTGCACACAGTATTACAGAGTTATATCTTGAGTTTTCCCCTGTGGTCTTTCAGGTTGATGCATGCTGAGCAGCCCACATTGTGCAATGTATGCAAGTTTTGTGTGTTGAAACTGCTGTAAATTCAAGGTGTGGTGTAACCGATTAATACCCGAACAGCATGTAAAGTGAGATGCACCATGCCCTACAATGGCTATAAATTGCCATGTACACTACAGGTTGTTATGCTGTTACATGCCCTTCACATGTTGATGTTGCTCTAGCCTGCATGGAAGCTGGAGGAATTGGAGGAAGCACTGCATATTTACCATGTAGAAGGTGCTGGGACACAGTATATTGGGCAGGAAGAACATCTGGCAACAGCAAGGAAGATCTGGGTTACCCACATTACAGGCAGAAGCAGGCTAAAGAAGACAACCACTTGCCCTGGCTCTGGAGTTCCCCTGGGCTGCTCCTAGAGAACCTCTGCCTTTGTGAATCACCAATAGGTCATCAAAGTGTAAATATGTACATGGCTCCAACTGTGTGGTTGCATGGGTTTCACAATAGTTCAGACAACCTGGGTGGTAATTCATGCTCTTCATACTTCGGTTCGTACTGAACCCTCTCCACTCAAAATCCTGGGAATTTTGCACCAAATTTGGCTGTGGTCTCCCCAATCAAGATCAACTAAATATGCTCCATAATAGCAATATATATATCATAACAGACAAAACAGAAAAAAACTGTAGTGGGGAATAACATGCCCATTTTAGAGATGGGTCGCTGAGTCACAGCAAGACGATAGCCCGTGTTCCCAGGGGAGGGCAGGTAACTCCAAGGAGCCAGTACTCGCCCACATTGGACAGAAAGTCAATAACAAGGCTTAACTTTGATCTCCTGACTTGCGACCGTCTTATGAAGCAAGGATAAAACCAAGCCTTTCCCCAGGGCCTCTTGACAGAGGTGTGTTATTGCTGCTGATGAAGAAGCCCTCGTGCCGTTCCCAGGCTGCTGCCAGATGGCAACCATCAGCACTGTGGGACGGGGCAAGAGCTTCATCCAAAATTTACTTTGTGGGCACATTTGGGGCGACTTCTGCGTGAATAACTGACTGACTTGTTGCTAGGGAACAGTTGGGAGGGATGTTTTTTGATCTCCCATACACTTACTACTAATAAATAAACAAATAACAATAATTACAACAAACCCCAAGCCTGTTGTATCTCCAGGATTAATTAATGATGAAATACAGCTGAAACCCTGTAAAAGCAGGCAGCAAGGTGGGTTCAATTTCACATTTCCCTGCTGCGTATGGAAATGAACGTTGAAATTAACATTTTTTTTTCCTCCTTAAAATTTACCTTAGCTGGATCAGGTTGGTGGGAGGAGTGGGGGAGTATTCCCTTTGCAGACAGAGGATGAGCAGGCAGACAGTAAATCTCCCTGTGCCGGTTTTACTTGCATCCAGTTTTTCCTGCCTAGTACAGTTAAGTTTTTTAGATACTTTACTTGCATTTCTAATTCAGTTATTCTTCTGAAATTTATTCAAAGGATTTATGCTTATGAAATTATAATATAATGCTGCCTATATGCCAATGAGCTGCAGGCAAAGAAAATAATTTTCTTCAATTTACAGTTATGAGGCTGGAAGAAAATGATGCCTTCTTATCACCTCTTTTTCTTTGTATGCCTCGGTATTTTTTTAAGTCTTCAGAAGGCAGGAGCTGATGATGAATTCTTAAGCAGATCACACTGATAATTGTATTTCAGAACTGTCAACTCTGTGAAGACTGTCCACGGAGGTGTCTCAGTTCACTTGAGCTATTTGTGTCACTGCTTCTCCAGGAACTCAGCCCTCAATAAAACCCAAATCACTGGGGATATTGTTAAGTCTTCTGAAAGGATTATTAGATCGAAGGAAAATTTATGGATGACACTTTGTAACAATTAATCAGGAACTGTTGATGAAGTTAAGTTGGTTCTTTATTCTTGAGCAGAAAAAAAAAATATGCAGCCCCTGTACAAATTGTCAAATGGCCTATTTTGTCACTCTGTTTGATTAATGGACTATTTGGAGTCCCCAAAAAGTCCTAGTACAAATAAAAAAGAATCATAAATATTGAATAAGCTCACAGCATGGTTAACCTTGACTATATTTTGGAACATTCTTGGGGAAAACTTTGCTATACAGAAAATAAATTGCTAAGGGGATTAAAAAAAAAAATCACAACAAATTGGAGATTTTGGAGAATGTCACCTACCCAACCTTGTCATCCTGATTAGCCTGCCATGATAAATTAGCTTTAGTTAGCTTTGCAATCAGGTCAGAAACTGCTGGCACACCACTGCGTTTTGTTAGTGGGGCTACACCTGGTCCACAAAAGGGGCACAGGATGGCACAGAAAATACTCCTGCGTTTGGTGCTTTGTATGTCACGCAAGGCTGGGACTGCTAACAGCCTATTATCCCTTTGTACTGTAATTTATGGAAATGGAGCCCAAGGAGTGCTAAGAGCATGGGAGTCATGGTGCCATAAGGTTGCTTCTGAAAGGTTGGTCGAAAGATGTCCGGCGATCTGTGTATATGCAAATGATAAGACCCGAGCTTCAGCTGCAGTGAACACACACGTTCATACGTATTCAGGACACACAGTTTCCATCTTTTCCTTGTGCTCCTCTGTCTCTCTATTTGCAACTCGGGTGCCCTCCTCCCCCAGACCTACCCTCCCCCCCATTGCTTGATGCAGCTGTTTAGTCCTGACAGGTCTGACCAGTCATTTTTGCTAACCTCTGATAGCATCTAGGTCACAGTGATCCCAAACCATTCTGCTTTTGTTCTCAGTGAACAAGAAATACAATGCTATTAGTTTAGGCTTGGGTTCCGCAAAGCACTTAAAACCCATGTAACTTTCCTCAAAGAATGCAAGCAATGCCCTGTTCTCCTTCCCCGCTGCTTGGCACTTCAGTGCCTGCCTGCAGTTAGCCCTGTCTCAGGCATTTTTTGGATGAATCAGGCCCTTTCTCAGGAGACTTTACAGCCAGTTTACATTTCCTTTAGTTGGCCCCTTCGCTAACCCACCTAAGCTGACACACATGCAATAAGATACTTTCAAACAGAGATTATTCATGCTCGGGAGCGCGATAGATTTTGAAATCTGTGCAACTATTCCCATTAGGGATGTAAGGGAGCTGCAAAACAATAACTGCTCATTATATTGTGTTGATTCCTTGCAAGTAATAGGGATTAGAATAGGGAGTGTTTTTCATCTCATCACATTTCATTGCGATACTCTGCCATCCATTTTTATCCCCATAGTCACTGAGATCACAGGTAGTCCTCTACCTCCTACTTGGGAAGAACAGTAAACAAAAAGAGCTGGGCTAGAGGCTACGTGAGGCAGCAGTACAGGGAAACTGAGGTGCTCGCTCTGCTTACTCCCCGGGCTAGCAACGACCAAAGGAAAATGCTTTCCCTAGAAAGGTCCTCAGAAAAATGAGGCCAGGGATGGTGAAGAGATGGTTTGGACTATTTTCATGTTTTTATTTCAAATCATTATGTAGCATGTGGAGAAGAGCTGGGATGAGTAAAGCTTTTGAGGACTCTGAGCATTTCTTCAACGGTACAGGAGTGAACATTTTTATGAAGGGCTTTCACGATCACACAGTGCTATAGCCTATGGCTAAAAACAATAACAGCAAAAAAGTGTAAGTCACCAGCCTGAACGAGACTGGTGTGAGGTGGAAGTTTTGGGAGGAAGCTGGCAGAGATCCTTCTGGTGATGGGGCAGGAGAGGCGGGAGCAGCACTGCCCCATGCTGCTAGGCCTGTGCCAAAGCCCCAGCACAAACACCTACCTGCTGTTTTCCTACCATATTGCAAAGCCCAGGTGTCCACTAGCAGTGATTATTAAGGCTGAGAGTTTTTACGTCAGCTGGGTGTTAATTCTTGATAAATTTCAGCCTTGGTAGTATCATCCAGCCTTAAGAAGCTCCTCCTGCAGGCCTACCTAGGAGAGCTGCAGCAGCCCTCCATCCCCAGCCTGAGCTAGGGAGGGTGTTTACAACATGCTGATAGACTGGCTTTGGGGTGGGGTGCTTCTAGGGCCTCCTGCTGATGCTGGTATGTTCTGCATGGGATTTATAAATGTTGGCTAGGTCAGGGAGACTTGGCAGACCTGAATGGACTGTTTAGCCCAGTGATCACATGGGAGAGAGGAAACCTGCGCTCTATTTCTAGAGCTGGTTGAGTATTTCATATCAGTTGCTGGAGCACAGCTGGGACCCAGAACCTACTCTGGAAGGAGGAGAATGTCTTCTGCATCAAGTACAGGTACCAAGAGTGACTGGATCAATGTTTGGATGCTCCTGAAGTTGCCTAGATGCTTTAGGTGCTTCCAAGATTATGACAGCCATTTAGTAGTAGGGGTGCCTGAGTTCTGGTTCCTATTACAGTCAGTATAAATAATTTATATTGAGCAGAGCAGCTTCAAAAAAGAAAAAAAAAAAAAAGGACATCCCTATCTGAAAATAGCATTCATACTTTTGTGGTGCTTCTAAGAAGTGTGGATTTAAATCATCTTGGAGGAGCTGTGTTTACTTCTCTGCTGTCATCTCATGTAGGTGCTCAGATTGTCTTTTTTTCAGGGCTGGATCATTCCTGCCCTATGAATGCCAACCAGGCTGGGTTCCACGTGGTGCATGGGAGGGATATCTCATATGCTAACACCAGCACAGGTTAAAAGTGAACCAGGAATATAACACCTCTGCAGCATCTGCTGTTAGGTATGTGTCCTGTTGTCTGGAGAGCCTTGCTGCTGTGGGAACAAAGGCAGACATTTGGGGACCTGAGGCGCCTCCTTGGTACTCTTCTGGTGAGCAGAAGTTTGGAGATGTGAGTTGGTTCATTAAATGTCCAAGCATGTTTGTAAGGGGCCTTTCAACACGTGAAATCATAGGAAGGCTTTTCCTCACAGAGCTTTTAAGGTGTACTCAGATGTATCTTCACTTCTTCAAAGAAAATGTTCCTAGCATCTTTTGCAGAGCTGGCAAACAGAGAAGACCAGTCCTGGTCTATATTTTCTTCTAACTCCCCTAAACATAAAATAGGCACTAAAATAGAATGAAGTCCTATTTACTAAACATTAAGTAAGGCTGCTTCTTTGATCACTTTTCTTCTGAAAGAGGGCTCATATTTAAGAAACATGAGGAAAGATTCAGCCACCGAAGGGTGTGGATTTCATTGCTATTGTTTGCCAGCAAAAGAACAACACTGCAGATGAAAAAGCATATACTAAATGAAACTAATTGCATTATAAAGAGCACCAGGCATCCTATAAAAACCTGTTGCCTAAATGTGCCTGTAACAACTTTATCAACAAATGATCTTCATGCAAAGGAGCCAAAGCAATTAGGTGGGGGTTGGCAGATCACTGCACTCCCTTGACATACACTGTAGTAAAATAGACCACCAACTTGAAAAAAAATCCTACATATGTCAAAATGCTAGGCTAGTGGTTCAAATGTTTTACCAGGGTCTTGTCTGTGTTAATTTGCCACATTTCATAAAGCATGTTACACAACATTCATTTTTGTACCTTCTCTCCTTTCACTGCCCCTGCCCTCTTTGGCTATATGTGCTTTGGAGTAAACCACCTGCAGAAGTGCTTGCATCAGCTAGAACTAGATTAGCAAATTGGTCTCAGCTGAAAACAGCCAGGTTTATTCTCCAGGTGAAGGCTGATTTATTTATTTTTTTAAACTGTCTTTGACTAACAGGTAACTAAAAACCTAGCTACGATAATGAAAGGATAGGTAGACTACTGTTGCCTGAATTAGTCTGTGCGTGCCTTTTCTTTTCCTTTTTTTTTTATTTTTTTATTTTTATTTAACCATTACAAAATTATCTACCCATTGATTTTTTGAAGACCCCAAAAGAAGAGTAAATGGCAGGTATGTGTTATTACCCTTTTAAGAGGGGCTGGCATTTTAAACACGGGGCGAGCATTTAGGTATTAGGTGGTCTCCCAGCTTTGGATAGTAGGAGACCGGGAATATTGAGATGTGGCTATAGGTTTGCTTACACTTACCTGCTTTCCTGGATGCCTACTAATATGTACTGTATGCTGTTGGGTTTTATGCTTTTATAGAGTGGAGCTGTATTATTCGTGGGGTGTGAAGTATAGTGTTGATTGTGTTTTAATTCATCTGTAATCAGAGGAGAGAAAAGGATTGGACTCTTGGTTTTCACAGATGGGAAGGCATAGTCTTTGCTCTTAATGTTAGAACTAATAACGAAACTTTTGGTTTTCTGAATTTTAATAGATGAATGATTTGAAGTATGCTCCCAACTAGGCTAACAAGCCATCTGCCATGGGTAAATGTTGCTTCATGTAGCTCATTCTGGACACCTCTATAATATAAAATCAATGTAGGAAACTTTCTCAATCAGTGCATGGAGCTGTCCATGTTTACAGAGACAAAACTGGAATATTTGTGGGGGCTATGCAAAGTATCCACACATGATTGTATATGTGCCTTTACCATATTTTTGCTTACCTACATGATTGTCAGCTCTAGTGCTTTTTGTTAGAATAATCTTAACCTTGTGTTAATATTCCCCTCGTGTGAGATTCATTGCTACATCTTACCTGAGTGGAAATAGTGTGGTGAAATCTCGTTAGACCTTTAGTGTCTATGTTTAGACTTGGAAAATTACTATGCAGTTTTTATGGCCATCCATCTACACAAAACCTGCTTATTTTTTCTTTGTCGATGAATGGCACCGAGTTGCTTAAGGAAGTCAGTAGTTGAATTTTGTTTGGAATTACATGTGAAAGAGGACCCTCCTTCTTGTCATTTTATTTATCATTAACAGCCATTATAATTTCTTCCCAGCGGCAATTACACGGATATCGCTACATCTAAATCAGAAATGACACTGTAGTGGTTGTATTATGTTGACTGGGCATCACCTAATTTTTAAGTGACGTCCTTGCCCCATCATTGTGATTATATCCCTTTCTAATAAGTAATATAAGGAAAGATCTACATAATGGGAAGATATACATATTAATGTAGTCCATGACAAACATGTTAACTTTACATATTAATCTTGGTAAATAGAAGTCATGTTTACATTTTTCTTCTTCAGTACCCTGTTCCCTTGACAGCTTGCTTTCCCTCTGGTTTTATTCTTTCCAATCCTGGTGTATGTTCTGCTGCCTCTGGTCACCCTGTTAGTCACAGAAGGAGAAGGCAGGTCACATCCATCTGGTTTAAAAAAATAAAATAAATAAAAAAAAAAAACGGGGGGGGGAGAAGCAGTGTTACTGGATAACATAATATTGTTGCTCTCCTCATTGCATTCAGGCCTGCGTGAAGGGACTTGGATATGGGCAATAAACATATGTGTGTGGTAATGAGATTGTTGGTGAAAAGTCATCTTGAAAAGACAAGGAGCAATTAAGCTTGCTTACTTATACAAGTTAGAATGACAAGATGCCATTGCCGGCCCCACTCATCCATATAATAGGGTTCTCCTTCCTTGCTTAGCTGTATTGGGAGAAGCGTTTCCTGTCAAACCTCTGCCATGGCTCCACCATAAAGCAATCTGCCTTCTTCCCTTTTATACACAGATCATTCTTACACTTCACGTTGCTGTCCTGACTTCAAGAGAGTGTCTGCTGTCAAGCACCTGAATTAGAATAATTTAAGAATTCAATGCAAAATATTCATTAAACCAAGTATTTGTATCAGTGTATTCTCTTGTCTGTTTTTTAATTGAATACTAAAGGATGTCAGTGGAAAGATGTGCAGATTGCTTGCAAACATTTAATAATGCAGCGTGGTGAGTCAACAAATAATGCACTTTCCTTTAGAAATCTTAAAGATTAAGATAGGATATCTTTGATGTTATTGACAAGCAGAGAAGTGTGGAACAATAAGAACATAAGATAGTTAGTGTTAGATAACAATAGCTATCCTTATGCATCTTGAATTGAATGATGAAGCCATCAATTAGAGAAATAGCCCTCTGAGTATATATCATTGACAAGATGAATACCAGCACATTGTATTTGCGGATGGCAGTCTCGGTGATCTGTAATTCAGAGAGCTGGAGATACAGTCTAAATAATCCTATGATATTGCAATAAAAAGAATAGAAAACAAAAATTGTCATCTTCACCTCTCTTCATTTTTTAGCAACTAGACTCAGAGAATGAAAGTAGTTGTACTTCATATTAATTACTTAAACAATACTTTCTCATTTAATTTTGAGATGTTTTTATTCTCCCCATTCAGCATGTTTAGTAGACACGTCCAGGGCTTAAAAGAGCATGAGGAGCAGTTCTGTTTGTTGTCTGTTCTCTTAATTGATTCTTACATGCCGGCATGGGGATCCATTTAGTCCCTCTCCATACCAAGGAGCAGACCTGGCAACTGCTCCTTATATGGCAGAGCTTCTATTTGCAACCTAAATTTCCCCTTGTTCTCTTTGGAATGTCTTATAGTTTCTGTCCCCTCCAGCTTTTTTTTTTTTTTTTTTGCTTTTTTTTTCTAAACTTTAATAGCCATTAGTGTTATGTTTATAGCAGAGAAGCAACAGAAAGAAAAGTTAAAGAGCTGGAGTTGCACTGTTGCACTTCTATAAACAAGGAATTCTCAGCCCTGGCAGTTTCCAGTTAATTAGTTTCGGTTCTTTTACTTACGTTTTGAAAGTGAGTGAATATTCCATGGTCAGGGCCAACATTTATTCTTGGATCTGTATGTAGGTAAAAAAATGTACTTCAGCAGAGTTACACAGTAAGAGTGGCTCTGTAGGAGATTAAAGAAAAATACAAGGAAAAATGTAATTAAAGCAGTTCTAGGCTAATTATAAAATACAATTTAAGGAATGGGAATCATTCCTTAATGGTCACCATTTGCGACCATTATCTGCTTTATTATTATTTTTCAGCTGAGTTTTTTAATATGAATGCTTTTGTGCAAAATAAGCTTTATAATCTTTCCACAGGACTCTAAATGTTTTGGTCCTCTCCGTTTGCTTGTTTGCAGAGGTCATTACATTAAAAAATGGATCCTACCAGGGATGTCAGTGATCGTTGCGGTGAAGACGAATTTCCAGAGCCTTAGGGGAAAAACGGTCACTGCCTTTCCCAGAAATATTTGCAAGGGCTAATGAAGTTTGGTGGATCTCAGTGGTATTGCAAATGTACTGCCTGATGGGGGGTGGGGGTGTGTGGAAACAGGTCTTTCAAGAAAGTAGCAGGTAAAAGGAATTTCTGTAGCTTTCCCCCTTCAAAATCTAATCAAATGAAACCACCTACAGGCCAATAAGCTTCTTGAGTGCACTTTGCCCTGGAAATAGTGTTTTATGATCGCCCAAAACATAAATAATGCAATAAAAGAAAATGTTTGAGGTCTCCTTAATGAGCTATTGTTAAGGCACCCTTCGCTCTAATCTCCTTTCGTAGTCTGATGCAAAGAGCAGCATCCAGTGGCTGAGAGTGTATTTTGAGTGCTGCTGGGGAAAGTACAAATGAGAAAACAGCCTTAATTACACTGCTTGCTGCATCTCGAGGTCCGTGTGGTTTGACCGGCTGTGTTAGGACACCCTGTAATTTGGAGGAATTCTCTGCACGCTGGCACCATAAATGTACTGCTATCCAAAGGATGGTTAATAATCTAAAGTTGGCTGTTAACATCGCTGGAGCTGGTGTCTATAATTTCAGCGAGTGACCCGAATGACTCTGCAATGAAAGACTGAAATGTCACTCTCCTGCTTTACTTTGTGCGCCTTGAGCAAAGGCTGCTCCAGACCATGTCCCTCCGTCATGTCCGAAAGTGGAAAGGGCAGCGTGGCTTCGTGGCTCTGTGAAGTCCCCCAGCTGGGGCAGGGAAGTGGGGGGGCATGGGAGGGAAGTGAGACATGTCCCCAGCCATGTCCCTGGTACCCATTGCTGCCAGCTCTGCTCATGTTAAGGTGAGGCTGGCCATGGGGAGCCGACTCGCCCAGGCTCTCTAGCTGCCAGTAAATCAGACCCAATGCCTGTGGCTAAAGGCAAAGCAAATGGTTGCCATTACCCAGGTATTTATTTCGCACCTGCTGCTGTGACATCTGTGTAATAGTGGCTGTGTACGACACGAGGTGGCCCAGCCTGGCTTTGAGCATTTCCTCATGACAAGCAGGTGGAGGAGCAGTACTCTCCTCAGGGGCATGACTGGGGAGCTGCAAGTGCAAAGCTTCACTCCTGCTGCCAGCAGTCTCAAACCCTCACTTCTGCTGCACCCCATTGGTACGGCTCAGGTGCAGGACAGGAATAAAATGCCATTGGTAAATTTCAGAAAGTTCAGTATTTTCGTTTCTTTTGGAAGCCTGTGATATTTTGGCATATTTTCCTTTGAAGGCCAGGGCAATGCTGATTGAAGATGAGTGTTGGCACTGAAGTGTACAAGGTGGCAGGATCTCCTGTGCTTCAGCACAAAATCATCCCCTGTCAGACACGGCACCAGGGCAGCCACCTGGTAGGGGATGAGACAGTGCTTTTAATACTGCTTTGTACTGAGTTGAACAAAAAGACTAATCTGCTCACAGTGCTCTGGGGTTGCACCTTCTTGCACCCAGCGAAGCAGGCCCTCAGTGTGACTGCCATTGTGTGGTTTCCTTATAGTCCCTCAGGCCTTCATGCAGGTTGCCTGACATACAAGTGTTAGAGTTGGGGTCCCTTCAGCCTTTCTGCTCACCATGTGATCCATCTGCAAGTACTCGAGAAGCACCTCTGTGTTTCCTCCAATGCAGTATGGCTATGGGTCAAGGATGGAGAAACTTGTCCACTCTTTGAATAACTGGGGGTGTGACTTGTACCTAGGCCACATTGTGCTTCCCTCCAGCCGTAGTAAAGACCTTATTGAGATGTTTTTTACAATGCTGTTTATATATGATGGGTGTGGCGAAGTACAGAATATATTTCCAGAAGGCAAAGAAATTGCCTTTGCTTTCCCACCTTGTGCTTGCCTGTAATTAGTTGAAAATGTGACATGTTGCCAAGAAAGTGGAAGAAACAGACAGCAAGAACACTGACATGAATTCTTGTTGCAGTAACCTTGTGAAGTGCTGCTATTAGATCTAGGTTGGTCTCTGATCTACACAGGAAAAAGGCCTGTTGCCACTTGATAAACTTGGACGACGTGAAGCAAAACTCTTGGCTTTCCTCCAGTCACCTGAACATGCCACTGCTGATGTCCTTTTTTTGCCCCCTCTAGATACAACCTTTTTCCTTACAGCATGCTCTATCCACAACCCTCAAAGCGTCTTGTAGGATTCTGGCTTCTACTGTGAACCACTGCTTAGCTCCCACACCCCTACAAGATCAGCTGCATGGAAAAGGAGGAATACTTGGCTCCTTCCTCTTGGCTCCATGACATCTGTTTTGTGACTGCTGAACATGTCAGCTTTCCACAAGTACAAAAGGAAGAAATGCAATAGAAGCAGCAGCATCTCATAGAACTGTAGCATTAACAGATGGAACCAAAGATGCTGCAAATGAAATCATCTCGGTGGAAACAGTCCTTGGGTCCTTCCCCTAGCCCCCAGGATAAGCAGATCTTCTAAACTGGAAAGTAAAGTAATGTCTATTTCTGTGGTAAAATGGAAACTGTATGTATTTGCCGTAAATCCACTCAAATCTTGTTGCAGAGCCTTTAGGCGAAACTGTATGCTTTCTTAGGTTTAGGTTAGTCATAAGACAAGGGTAACTGAACTCTCCTCTGCAAAGAGAGAGAAAAGCCTGAAATACTTCCAGTGGCCTGTCCCTCTATGATTATTTCAACCTTTTTGATGAAGGGAGAGAAAGAGATGTTTTTTGAGAAATTTAATTTGAGAAGGTGAGGGAAGAATAACTATCAAGTAGATCAGGATTCTGGTGTTGGGGTTGTCTTCTACACTAGGATGGGTGCTAATCTGTCCTTCATGCTTGAAAATATTTAGAGAAGAAAGGCACCTGAGAATCAATGGGCTGTCTTCACAGCAGTTTCTCTGAGCAGGGCTGGCTTTGCCATCATCTCTGGGCAGACAGCCTTAACCTGCTAAGGTGGTGCTGTTGCCACTATTACTCTTGCAGCACCGATGCTTGTGAGCACACCCCATCTCCCATGGCTTTGGGGATTACCTGGAGGCCCTGAGATGTTTCACTGTGGTCTGAGGTTAGGCAGGAATATCTCAGAGCTGCTTTTTCCATCCACATGGACACACATGCAGGGGAAGGAGAGCCAGGTTCTCCTCACAGACTGCTTTTGCACCGATTTCAGCAGTGTTATCCTTGTTCCTCAATTATATTCCCAGGACACGGAACTGCCTCCAGATCTCTCTCATTTGTAGGGGCTTGTGATAGCAGAGTGGGGTTCCACAGCTTACTATGAAGCCAAATGATCCAATAACTGACACTATCTAGATTACCAAGAACACAGGAAAAATAACATACTTTATCCACTTCCTTCTGCCTACTCCTGCCACACCCTAAGTGAGAGGGGAAGGTACATTGCACTACTTGTGTGCAGGGGTTATTCTGAAAGTAGGGCAGCCTGAGGAGAGTGCTCATTAGGGCTTCAATGAGGGATTGCACATAGGTGTCAAGGGGCAAATCAGCCAGACGTTTGCAGCGTTATCCTTGTTTAACATTATGAAACAGCTTTCAAAACTCTGGATGCAAATAAAACTTTCTGACAGCCTGCCAGAAACGGTCACGCCGACAATGTCATGCCAACGTGAATGAAGTTGGTGTATTTTTTTATTATTTATTTTTTTATTGCAGCAGTCAGACTTGCCAAACAACCTATTTCGGTGGAATGTGGGTTCCTGGGCGGCTGGAAGTGCTTGGCCGCCGGCCTTGTGGTTCACCTGGGGCGTGCTGTCACTGTGCCTTGCCACCTCCAGAGACACATGCAGTGCCTCTCCTCCTCCCTCTGTGCATTAGCACCTCTGCCATACCATTCCTAAGATAGAAGGAAGCCTGCACACAGCTCCTCGGAACATGCAATGAGATTTGCGTGCCGGTGAACTTCCTCCGCCAACACGCTCCTCAGCAGCTGAAGTGACTTGGTGCGGCCCTCGCTTGGTCCTTTTGACCTCCCTATTGTTAGGGAAGATAAATGCTTCCCCTTTCTCCCACGGAAGGCCTGCAGGGTGTGTTTGCACGGTGGGCGGTCTGGTCCTGCAGCGAATGGAGAGGTTTCTTCATGTTTGCAGCGTTCTCAGTTCCAGTGCTGAGGAGAGATGAGGCTGCTTGACGCGCTGTGGGACAAGGTGGCTTAGGAGTGCAGGTGCAGCGATGCCACGTGCCCTGTGATGAAAGGCTTGCACATAACTTTTTGCTTCTGAATGACATGGGAAAGCACCCTAAGTCAAGGAGAGTGTGATGCTTCAGCCAACTAGGAAACGAGCACCTACGGGACAGGTGCCAAGATCTCCTGGTGCTTCCAAGTCCTCATTTCTGGCTATTGTGCTGCCTATAGGAGTTAGTGAGTCTCCTGATAGAAACTCCCCTGCGCAGAGCCACAGCAGCTTCTCATGCACAGCCCGCTGGTAATGTATTTTGCAAGACTGATGAAAAAGCTGAAGAGGGAGGGAGCAAGCTACTGGCTACCACTAACAGCTCTGGGCTGCTCGAGGTTGTGAGGCCTGCTGGGCTCTGAGCCGAGCACCTGGGGAGCTGCAAACCACTTCTGTCCTGCGATAGGGGCTTTACTCCTTGTGGGCCCTGCGGGAGGTGCAGCAGGGACCTGCAGCTCATGCTGAACCCACACCACCAAAAGGGCCCTGATAGCCAGCAACAAATTAAAGCCCTGTCCAAAACCACCCCGCCCTGTAATCTAGGTAACGAATGTGAGCTTGAGGTGGGGGGAGTAGACTTTGGGACATACAACTGAGATCAAGGTACTCTGTACCTATGCGGCGTCTGCTGAATTTTGTTCTAACTCGCTGAGAATCAGCAGGCCGTACCTGACAGCTTGTTGTTTATTTTTCTCCTTGGGCCTGGTCTGCGTGTACTTCTGCGCCAGTAAAACGCAGCGAGTGCAGCAAGCGTTTACTTTCTCTAATGTTACCGTTTCATCTGGTCTAATAAAGCCAGCGCTTATTTATGTGTGTATCTGTGCTTGAGAGAGGCAGGAACAACACCCGAGCTGGGGAGGGGGGGGAAAAAAAAATAAAATTACCAAGTACCTACACAAGGAGTTAAAGCGACAGGATATATATGAAGGGGTTAAAGCACTACACAGGTACAGATCCTGTGGCAATTACAAATGTTATTGAAATAAAAACCAGAAACAGGAAGCCAAAAAACAGGTCCCTAAGGCAGGCATCTGTCTTAAATGATATCATTTGTCAAGTTTCCAGCATCTTGTGGTTGTGAACACAAAAAGAAGTTCTGTGTTATACTAAGGACATTACATACTCATTAGTTGGAATGTTCCTGAAGTACATAATACAGGATTTTCATTTAATAAGAAGCAGCTACTTGCCACTGCGTTGTACATAAAATAAATTCTGGGCATGCTAATTGCTATTCAAGGATGTTCTACCTAATTTTTGACAGGTTTTTCTCTCTCCCCCCCCCCCCTCTAGACTACACAGTAAAAACTGTAAGCAGAATGTGCTGCTATGGTTAAAAAAATCTTTTTAGAATATATTTTTTTTATTTCTGAAAAATGGATTATTGCAACAATGAATATTAAAGGCTTTAATGCACATATTAAAAGGGAAAAAAAAAAAGCAAGTTAGCTACAGGAATTTCTCTTTATTTGGGGGGAGTAGCAAGGAAGCAAAATACGTATGTACAGATATGTACATATATACATAAATATGCATAGATATGTGCATATATACACAGATACATATACATTCATACATATATACAAAAGTCTGTATCTCAACACAGTAACTCTTCAAGTCTTCTCCCCCATCTCCAAGAACAAACCTAACTGTAATTAATTGGTATAGTTCCTCTATCTGAACACTATTAGTGCATTAGAGTTAACTAATATATAAGCTTCCCCCTCGCTGCCCTGCCAATGACCTTAAGCTTCACATGGTAGGAAGGCCACTTGCTGTAGAATAGAAAAGTAATTTATCCACCATGATTGTTCAGCCCTGGCCCCTCTGTAAAACAGCGACTGACAATTGTGCTGTATTATGGATGGTGCGTTTGTGGGGTGTACAATAGTGTGCAGAGCATCAAGCTCACTTCCCTGAACACTGCAGGCAGGGTTTGAAAAGTGATCCTGCAAAGATGAGGCCACTTGCTGAGCTATGGCCCTCCATTTTCAAATCCTTTTTCCCCCCAAATATCTCTCTTCCTCTTTTTTTTTTTTTTTCCACCCCCCCCCCCCAAAGACAGAACAATATTGTTTTCTCAGCTTAAGTAAGAGCAGTATTCCATTCATAAAAATGTGTCATTAAAAAAAAAAAAAAGGTTACTTTTCTTTTACCTGGGGTTTCCCAGCTTCTTTCCACATTTCAGGATTTAGCATATTCCCTCAAAACATAATAAATTTCGATTCTGTAGCTTAAGGGATCCATCAGTTAAAATGTTAGTCTTTCATCTTTATTACCCTCCCATTAAAATGAAAGAAACCGGGACACACTTCAGTTTAGAAGAAGCAATTTAGTTGGTAATGTCCTTACTACTCAAGTCTTTACAAAGAGAGAAAGTGCATTATTGCTTATATTTCACACATCTATCTGCATAAGAAGCAACTAAAGCTTTCAGACACATACGATGTTAAATTTAATAATATTCTTTGATTAGATTATTTTATTACAACATTTTTCCATTACCAGTCATTTCCCGTACACATTTACATTCATAAAACCTGCAGGTTTTTCTTTGTTTGTGTGTGTGTGTGTGTATGTATTTATAAAGCAAGGAAAAGATTCTCTCGTGCTACAGCTGTTAGGTTGGAAAAGAACAGATTAATAACTAGCCACCACGTAGGACTAGGTTTTCTTGTACGCTGCACCAGTAACCCTTTGCTATAATGAGGACACAAAGAGGCTCACATCAGGCTGCTCCTCTTCTTCATAACTCAAAAGCGTCACAGTGGCAATAGCCTCTAGTGCTATTTGTCTTTAGTGCAGTTGTGACACTTCGGCATGATCCATAATTTGGCAGCTATTTACCGTGACATTTCCCTTCAGTGCAGCCATAACATTCAGTGAAGCCATTATTTGGTTCCATTTACCATATAAATTGTATTGTTGTGCATGCATGCTAGCAGCTACATTAGGTACCTGAAAATGAGTAAATCTTGTAAAATAGATACTAACAGCTATTCAGCAGTGGAATTTCTTCACTCCTCAGACAGAAGTCGGAATATATACAATATCTGCAAACACTCCTGCAAACTTTTCCTGGAGACGCTGTAATTATTTGTATTTACATGACAAGGGAGAAATTAATGTCCGCTTATTAAATATATACACTTGGTATATATCTGTACAGAGGCACACACACAAAGCGAACTAGTGCTTGGTAGAATTCTAACTTCGCTCAGAAAGGTATTAGGAGATTCCAGCATAGCAATTAAGTAGGAAGCGTATCTGTAAAATGTGCTGAGGGTTGCAGGCCAGGAGAGAGTGAGTACGTGTGTGTCCATGTGCGCGTGCGTATGCACACATGTGACAGACTCAGGAAAAAAGCCAGCTCTTCATCTATTTCTTTGTTGTTTTTCCATGGAAGCATATGTGTGTAGGAAAGGGAAATTCTGTTATTAGCCTCAGCAAACAATGCCAGATTCCTCTGTAGCAAATTCATTTAGAAAGGTAAAATTAGGATGTAGTGCTAGCAACCACATCTCAATGAGCTGCTATTATTAATAGTATTATTATTTAAATCCCTGCTCTCTACATATAGTATACTTAGTACTTCCCAGGCAAATGTATTATTATTTTTAATCATTTAAGTCCCCACTGTGCACACAGCTTTTAATACACCTTTTTTGCAAGCATATTAAGTGTATTGTTATTAATCCCTTGCTGTGACTCTACAGTATTTCTTTTCCTTGTACATTCAATGTCCTATCATTTAAACCTCTCAGTGTGTGCATGCCATATACATTTTCCTATCCATCTAATATTTAAACATTATTTAAATCCATCATAGCTTACTTACTCAAAGTCAGCCCTGCTCCCATAACTGAAAGTCTGCAGAATGTACTTTTAAATAAAGGAGAAAAGTTGGCTTCTTCCTCTCCCCCACCCCCTTAAAATTATTGTGAATTTTGGCAGAAGAGCCTTATCTGCGTGTTTCAGAAACAATGTTTCACCCTCTCCCCGCTGATAACGCTCTCTTTCAGCAATCTAGAAGTTTTATCTCTAAAAACAAAAATTCCCTCTTCATTCTGGATTCACTCAAGGAAGAGCAATCATGCATAGCCCGAGCTACCTTTTAGCTCAATACAGGCGTTGGATGAAAAGGACAGCCCCAATGGCCGTGGCCCAACCCAAACACCAGAAAGGCTACAGGGTCAGTACACTGGACGTACACGTTCTGCATATACCAAATTTAAATTTTTAGTAACACTGTAATCAGTATTAAAGTGCTGAAAAATATGCCTGAAGCCAAAAAGCAACCAAATGTCATATTTGAATACATGTACATATGTGACCCCTCCAAAAGGTTCCTCTGTTCCCTCATTTTGCTTAGTGAAGGTGCCCGGGGCAGTTGCATTACTCCACATTATATACAAAGTAACTTATTAAAAGAAAGTAGAATGCTGCATGTCCGAGCTCAGTCCTGTTACAGGAAGAGGTTTTGTGACAAAAGCACTTGGAAGTCACAGCCGTGCAGACAGCTAAACCTACTGGACTGGCAGGGATCAACACCTCTGTGAATTGGGCCACTTGGATGCACTTGGCATTTGACTGGAGGGACTTTGAGAAACTGTTACCCACACAACTCTTCTGCACGCACCACAGATACAACTAAATGTACTCTTTTATTTTTGTTTTGCTCTACTGTGTCCCCAAAAGGTTTTGCTTGTTTTTAAAGATGCATTTATTGACCCAAAGCAGCCCATTTTCTTTGAGCAAGGAAAGACACCAAATGCCTAGGAATAAAAGAGTCAGAACTTTGTATGCTCTGACCTCTTACACTAC